TCTATCAGTTGTTATCCCTTCTGTCAGTTTCTTCCATTCTCATGATGGGTTCTCATTAAGGAGATTCATGGGGAAGGTGGTAATCGATCAGAGCTATTAGCCACCAGAGTGTAATCTGGTTCCAGTACAAACTGACCCGCACGCTGTCCTGTCTACCTTGAGGATTTAAGCCGATTAACTCGGAGCCTGGGAAACAGAATCCAATGTCCTAGAGCTCTGCATCCCCTTCACCCCTACCCCCCGAGGAAGGGATTTAACAAATTGACACTGTAATTAGATCCAAACCTACAGTTAGCACACCTTGGAAGGCATCACTGGTGCCCGGCTCACCTTTGCACACTACTGCGTCGCTGGGGGAACGCTGCTTGCTCTCCCTCTGCTGTCTCTGGCCCTACGCTGCCGATCACCAAGGGGGGATTTCTGTTTTGTTTAGACGGTTGGTTGGGTGGTTGGTTTTTGGACCTGTTTCCAAGAGCACATCTGTCTTCTGGGTCAGGAATGAGTCAGGGACTGGAATGAGATCACCACAGGGAAGCAGGCAGCTCGCTGTTTCAATTCTACAGTCTCTGTGCTTCGTGTTCCTAATGGAACCAGAGAACAGAAGGCAGGAAGGACGCCCAGGTTGCCGACAGATCCCCTGGCTGCCGTGTGGGTGGGCCAGCCAGGTGAGAGACGCCGTACAAATTAGTATTCTCAAGCATCGACCTTGGCTTTTAAAGCACAGCTAACCACCAAGTATAAGCAGAAGACTAATGTTAAACTAAAGCCCCTTCAAGAATGATATTCTGGCAGCAAAAGTTGTCCACAAGTGGCAGGATAAATTAGTAGCAGGAACCCAGTGAACCTTCTTACACCAACAAAAACATTGAAGGTACGAGCCTCCTCCTACCCACTTCATTCCCTCATTACTCACTGCCTCCTTTCTTTCTTTCTTTTTTTTTTAAACTAAGAATGATGATAGAATATATTATTTTGGATCACATCTTTGGAGCTAGACAACATGGTTCAAAGCCTAAGCCAATCTTTTTTAGTCACTTGACGTTCTCTGTGCCTCAGTTTCCCTATCCATAAAATGCTGGTGACAATAGTCAAAGGTTAACCCTTTCAAAGGTTAGTAAATCAGTGACTTCACGTAGCATAAAGAGAGAGCTTTGGATATCATTGTGGGTGAGTAAACGTAAGCCACTGTCATTGACGGAACGCTGTAAATGCTGAACATGCAAGACGCGAGTCATATAAAAGCCTCCACCTCAGGTCAGGTGGCAAGACGGACACACAAACCAACCTGCCATCCGGCCGCAGCCTGCTCTGTATTACATATTTGGGAAATGAAGACACTACTGCAGAATAGGTCTAATACTCCGTGTATAATAAGTATAACTGACTAGAGAGGCACAAGACATAACAGCAAAAAATCACATTGAACAATAATTGAGATCAACCTTTTACCTGTTAAGAATTAAGCCAAAATATCTCTGAAATTAAATGCCCCGACATTAGACCTCATTGTGATGTGGTAAAAGAATGAACATACAACAGAACAGTATCCTAAGAATGTTTTTTAAAGGGCACCTGGGTGGCTCAGTTGGTTAAGTAACTGCCTTCGGCTCAGGTCATGATCTTGGAGTCCCGGGGTCGAGTCCCACATCGGGCTCCCTGCTCGGGGGGGAGTCTGCTTCTCCCTCTAATACCCCCTTTCTTGTGCTCTCTCTCTCTCTCTGATTCTTTCTCTCTCAAATAAATTAAGAAAATCTTTTAAAAAAAAAAAAGAATATTTTTTAAAATTACCATGATAATGTCCTGGCCAGCCAATCCTTCAGCTATTTGATGAACCAGTAAACAGTGGGACTTACTATATCCCACCTAGCTGAAAATTTGCCAGAAATCTAGTACACACACATACACAAGTGCCATTTGGTGCAGAAAGAAAATCTAAATATGGAAAGCAAGGAACAACAAAGTGAGGCTGGTTTGAATCCCACCTCTACCATCCACTTGCCATCTATCCTTAGGTGACTTAGTAAACTCTCTTCTCCCCTGTGTCTGCATCTGTAAAATGGGGGTAATATGAGCGTTGTTGCAAGGCCTCAGTGAGACGTTGCATCATAAACTCAACTTTCTAGCACCAAGCTTGCCCCAGCCATAGCTCAGTACATTTTTTTTTTCCCTGCTATCATTCGCAAAACACTAGCTGGACACCTCCCTGCCCAACTCCCTCTTCTTTCCTGATCTCTCACTCAGTGTCCGTCTCTCTCTCTCTCTCTCCTGATGTTTTGTACACAACTAATAAATACATATATATTTACATGGGTAATCCATGTTCATTGGAGGAAAGCAAGAAAATACAAAGCAAAAAAAATTAAAGACCACTCATGATTCCACCACCCAGATTAGCTGCTCTTTTGCTAGGAATCCTTCTGGTCTTTGGCGTGTAAATCCACTCCATCTACGTAGGTATAAATGTCTGTGTGTTTATAAATTTATCATTACCTACACAGGATCATACAATACATTCTGTCCAGTAGAATTGTCTTCCTGCTCAGCAATATATCATGTCCGTAAATATAAAACGTACATTATCATTTCAAATTACTCTATGGTATCCTAAGTAAATTCTCTAATTTATTTAGACAGTCACCTCTTGCTAGAAATGTGAGGTGTAATCCACTTTTCTCTATTGTAAACTCGGCTTGTGTAAATATCCCATATCAGCCTCTTTGGATACTTTGGCAGCAGCTCTTACCATGGCAGAGGGCAACATTTTTTATTCATCAGCATATACTGCCAGTGGTCTTGTTCATGGCACCTGCATTTGTGTAAGAGATAAATAACACTTGGGGTTCTGCAGAAGTTTTAACATAATACTACCTATTTAAAGAACTTCATATCTGGGGCACTTGGCTGGCTCAGCCGGTAGAGCATGCAACTGTTGATCTCAGGATTGTGAGTTCAAGCCCCACACTGGACAGAGAGTTTACTTCAAAAACAAACAAACAAAAAACACAAACAACTTCATACCTAAATATGAGCCAGCAGTAAATAAAGGGTAAGCTAAGCCAAAAATACATATATATAAATATTTTTATTTATATATTTAAATATTTTAAACATTAAATATATGTGCTTGATTATATTTAAATATATTTAAATATTATATCTATGTATATAGTTAATAATGTGCAGAATCCAGATATTAGATGATCATGTACATATAAAAAGGCCTGGAAATTTTTTAGGAATATAGAAAATCAATGAAGAATTAGAAAATGAGAAACTGGGAACCAGTAGTAATACTAATCTCGCCTTTGTGATTTATCTTACACTGGATGGAAATAAGCAATGATTTGTAATTACCTCCTTCCACACCTGAGTCATTTCATTGGGTAATGTCAAGGGCCACATAGATAAGTAAAATACTAAATTAATTTTCATAAAATGCATTCAGAATTCTCTAGCGGAAGGAATTGGGGAAAGTCTTTGCCAGGAAGGTCAGCTTGTCTGCGTACATCGGTTGCATATTTACTGAGAATCTACTATGTTCCAGCAAGTGAGGACACAGAGAAAAGTAGGCCAGGCTTCCAGATCTGTTTCCAGTGAAAATCTGCTAAAGGAATCAGCTTGCTGCAATTCGGACAACATTGTTTAAGGATCTGGATTTCTGAATGTCTTGCAATTTTAATATTGTTTGAATATTCTGTGGATAGGACATCTGAGCAGGAGCAGAGAAATCCAAGCCCCCTCTTCACTTTGACCCCTAAGTCACGTGAAGCAATCATTTAACCTTGCTGAGCCTCCTTAATATTAGGAGAATCACGCCCGATTTCTGCTCTCAAGATCATAGCGATAGTCCCAGTATTTAGGCAAGAAAATGTTAATAAGAGCTCACTGATTTCCTTTGAAGCTGCTGAGATGTGTGGGGTAACATGACAACACGTGACAGGGTCACTGTCCTTTGCATTTGATCCTTTAGGTATTTCTGTGTAATTTTTTTAATGCTGTATTTCTGTTTACCCCTCCATGATCTATTTTACTCGGGTCCACTTTAGAGCTGGGGTTGCCTTCCTTCAGCATCTCTGCACACTTGAAAGGTGCGTGACTCTGGAAAGCAGTGTGCTGGGCACTGCGGGTCATTTAATGTTTGCCTCAGCCAGACACTCAAGGCAGAGCACCTCCAGAAAACCTCTTCTGTGCCTCTCCCCGCCACGTCTCTTCTGCTCACTCCTGAGGCTTTTTCTGGCCCTTCTGCTGCTCTGTCCTCACCTGGCCGCAGCTCTTCTGTCTCTTCCTCCTGCCCTTAAACTTGGTCTTCCCTGCACCCTCCACTGTGTACCAACCACTCCTGTGTCCCCTGTCATGCCCCTTTCCCTCCCACCAATGTTTATGTGGGAATTACAGCCCTGGCCACTTGGGGTGCCTACTCAGCAGACCATAATGCTCCCATTCGGGGGCCAGCCCACAGCACTGCGAAACCCCCATTTGCTTATGGGACAAGATGGAAGACAGACTCAGCCAGCATCTCTTCCCACTCCCACCCCATCAACTGTGCTTGAGCCCCTCCTCTGGACCCTTTGGGCTCAGCTAGTACTACATGGGGTAGCGAGATGGGAGCATTTGGAGACATGTTCCAGTGCTAACCTGAAGAAAAGCCCCCAGGCCTCATTACCGTCATGTACCCACACCAATATGTAAGCATGACTCTTCCCAGAATGGATTATGGAAAACATAAAGAGCAGGCTGCCTACAGCAAAGACACTTTTTAAAATTCCGATTTTGATCCTCATCACTGTTGTCATGTTAAAGTATTATCAAGAATCACTATTACCTGGGGAGGTGGGGTATGGAAATGAGCCCTGAACTCTTCCCTGTGATCTCAGAACAGATCCAAAGCACCTGTGTCCTGTTTCAGGAGACAGAGACACCCTCGAGGGCAGTGGGTCTCCGCTCCACGCCGGCCTCTAACTGTGACTCTGCTTTTCTCTGTCTCCCCGTCTCCCCGGCAGTGGCTCCGAAACCCAGGCCCCCAGCATGAGAAGCGGACTCTGTTTGGAGACATGGTGTGCTTCTTGTTCATCACGCCGCTGGCCACCATCTCGGGCTGGCTCTGCCTGCGGGGAGCTGTGGACCACCTGCACTTTAGTAGTCGGCTGGAGGCCGTCGGACTGATTGCACTCACTGTGGCACTCTTCACCATTTACCTCTTTTGGACACTAGTAAGTATGGCCCAGGGCCCGGGGACTTGGAGCAGCCAGAGCTGGCCACCCCTCAGCAGGCACAGCCTTCCCTCCCGGCCGTAGCCCAGCTACCCGGCCTGGTGAAAGGCAGATCTGCAGGCGCTGGCGGGGGCGTGTGTGCCACCTCGAGGTCCAGGTGGATGTGCTTGTGGATGTGCATGTGCAGGCGCGTGTCCACCCCAGTGTGCTGCTGGGAAGAGCAGATCAAGGAAAGAAAAAGCTCCTGCTTCTGAGAGCCCATCAATCAAAGCCACACACTCTAGACATTCCCCTCCTCCAGGGTTCTGGGACTCCATCCGCAACGGGGCATGGCATTTTCTTTCTCTGGTTTATGTGCCTCGCTTTTGCTGGGATTGTAGCAGATCATGAATGATGCTCTTGGCCACTGCTGCTGTCACCGCCTGGGCAGATCATGAATCCTCGGGCTGGTTATTTTCTTCTTACTCCTGGACACAGCCTAAATTCTTTGCTGGACGTGGAGCTGCGTTTTGCCTGATGGTTATTCTGTGTGTTGGGATATTGACTCCGCAGCCCATAAAAACAATAATTTATCTAGCTGAGAAGCCACCACCAAAGAAACCCGTCTCCCAAATAAGCGTGTCTGCCGTATATGAGGGAGAATTCTTAAACACGTCTGTTTTTTTTCACCCACTTAACTCCTGAAGAGAGTTAAATGCTTGGGCAGAGGTTGGCACAGCACTGATCTCACTCTCTCTGTTTCCCTCTGGGACCTGCAGGGAAGAAAGTCACTACCCGCTAGACTCATTTCAGAAACTGGGCGCCCTGCTTCCTGGCATGATTCTGCTGTGCCTGCTCATTTCTAATCTGAGCACGTCCCACGGTTACTTAGTATGTGTTTCCTGTTAGAGCATACCATTCTCTTATCCCGTAGCACGGGGTCAGCATGTGAAAGCTTCTAGCACTCACTCACACGTGCCCCTCTGCTCTGTCTTCCAAACCCTGTCCCACCAGCTGCCAGGGCAACCTGGCCCAGGTCATTTCCATCTTGTCCATCCTGTGATGCTATAGCTCTGTACCTTCCCTCGGGGTGGGGCGGGGAGGGAGCGTTCAGACAGACAGCCCGTCTGTCTCAGTGAGAAGGACATAGCTCGATTCTTGGTAAAGACGGAGCATTCTGAGGGTTCCAACTCTCTCTGAGTCCCCCGGTGAAGTCAGGCATTCTGCTACCCACCACCAGCCAAAGCGAGAGTGTCTCCTCTAAAGGTCTGTGCTGCCCTGATTCACTGTGAGTCAAGCAATGAGGCAGACTCAGAAGTCACAAGGTGGTGGGAATGGGAAGAAAATAAGAGTAAGACTCTTAGAATAAGAAATCAAATCACCTTTAGCACTGACGCCCGGTCAACTGCGTCAGCTTGGAAAAGGCAGTTCGCATCTCTGAGCCTTGGCACCCTCATTCATAAAGTGAGCGTGACAGGAATGCCCATCCCGCCAGGCTCCTCCCTGCTCCTTGGCATCAGAAAGGAGAGAGCACCTGAGGAAGGTTCTCACCTGTTTCACCTCCCATCTCAGAAGAAAGGGGGCTTGAGCAGGAAGGGTGCCTGGAGTGGGCTCTTTCAGGAGACTGAGAACATACTTCATTCCAGAAACGTTTCCGGGAGGCAGTGCCCCATAGTGAAAAGCACACGCATGAGATGCCAAAGACCCTGTGGTCAGACCCAAGATTTAGCACGCTAAGAGCTGTGTCACTCTAAACAGGGTACTTACCCTCTCTGATCAGCCTTCCCCCTTTACAGATAGTGGAGGACAGCCCTGGGTCACTGGGCTACTGGCAGGACTAGGTGGGGTACCTTCGGAAACATTTATCAGAGCCCCCAGAATAGGCATGAGGGTTTCTTCCTCTGCACACTCAGCCGGCCACAAGATGCAAAGCCGCTGGAGGGAGGGGAAGGCGTTCTCCCCTGGAAACAGCGCTGCAGCACCCCTGAGCCCGAGGTGACTGGATCCAGGCTAAGTCCCTCCCAGATAAATGCCGTACCGAGCTGCCCTGGCAGGAGCCGTAACTCAGGAGCTGACAACACTTGGAAAGTGCCCTCCGGCAGAAACCCATTGTAAACAAGCTGTCAGGCTTCCGGAGAATATGCTGTGAAAATGTCTTAGATAAACAAACACCGTGTCAGTCCCAGCCAGGCTGCCGCTCAGAGGAGCCTTCCTGGCAGGGCCTCTCCAGCACTGGGAAGCAGGGAACGCAGCTCCGCTGCTGCCTTGTCGCACCTCTGCAGTCTGAGCCTGGCCCTGCCGCCCCTTGGGTACAGGGCGTTCTGGAACCTGCCGTGGGGAAGCCTACCTCTGGGAAACCACAAGCCCAGAGTGGGGTGCCATGGAACTATCACTGCCTACATCACAAACCATCTGAGGTCCAGGGACAGACATCATCTGAGTCCACGCTCGGCGCTAGAAAGTCACCCAGCGTGGCACTTAAAATGAGCCAAACGCGGACAGGTGGGGGACTGGGGTGCTGTGCTGCAGGGACCCGCAGGGAGCGCCTGCGTTCCCCGCATCACGGAGGCAACAGCCAGCACCTGGCACAGAAGCTGGTTAAGGCCTGGGATGGAATGAATGAGCGATCTGTTTCCTCCGGCTGATTCCCGGCCCTACGGGGTAGTCAGTCATCTGAATTCTCCTTATAACATTGGGAGACCTCCGGGAGGAACTGCCTGACAAGGGTTACCGTGCGCGAGCTGGCTGACCCACAGCCCACACAGCCCACACAGCCCACGGCAGCCCGAGGGTATCGAGGGTGACCCCATGTCCGGTCCTGCTCCTCGGCCCGTGTGCTCTCACAGCCCACCTGGTTGGTTCAGCCTGAGATCAAGAAGCTGGGCCTTTCCTGGGAAGACGAGGCCCTGGCCCCATCAGTAGGCCTCAATATAGATGGGAAGGGCAGAATAAGAAATGGGTGACGAGATTTCCCACACCCTTCTGTGACTTTACAGCAGCCCTTAGGCCACAGCCCGTCACTTCCCTGACAGGGAGAGCGGTTGCTGATGTAATCCTTCCTTGCCCTGCCCACACGACCACCACTCTTTGTAGGATCGTGCCCACGACGGGTTAATCCCCTTTGGATGAAGAACTGAACGCACCTCAAGAAATTCACCCCAAAAGAAGTATTTTTTAGAATAGTGACCCTGTGCGCTTTCTTCCTCTTCTCTCCGTACGTAACACAGACATCGAAGGAGCATCTGGGTGGCTCAGTCGGTTAGGAGTCCACTCTTGATTTTGGCTCAGGTCGGGATCTCAGGGTCATGAGATTGAGCCTCCTGTCAGGTTTCCTGCTGGGCGTGGAGTCTGCTTCAGATTCTCTCTCCTTCCCTCCCCTGTGCCCCGCCCCCAGGGACATTTAAGAAATAATCTAAACTAAGTTCCCAATGTGAAAATTGTCCTGGCTTCCTTTTGGTTTGTTTCTGCTTCCCTCACTGCCTCTTTAGTTCTCTAAGTCAAACTTCCTTTTTTCCTATTCTAGTCCACTGTGGGAAGGGAGTGTCCTGGGGCTCCTGGCCCCGGGCAGCATCAACCAAGGGCATTTGCAAACCTGGGGTCCCATCTGCATTAGGCCCAAGTTCCTTGATTTTGCCCAATAAGGAGTCCTCTTCATCTGATGCTTTCTTCTTATTGACTGAATTTGCCTGCAGATTGTGATGTTAACAGCAATTAAGATAGATGAATGTATAAAAAGATCTCATCTGTTTGTCTGAACAAGCGGGCTGATTTTCACACCTTCTGGCCAAGGAACCAGGAGACCTGCTAAGTCGTTGACTTCCCGGGTTGCCTGCAGCAGCGCTTCTCGGCTTGAACAGATCTGCAAATCACCTGGGGATCTTGTTAAAATGCACACTCTGATTCCTTAGGTCTGGGTGGAGCCCCAAATTCCGATGTTCTAACAAGCTCCCCAGTGATACAGCCTGCTGCTGACCCATGGCCACGTCGAGAGCAAGGGAAATTAGCACGTTTTTTTCTTGTCCCCCTTCTCCTGTGTCTAAGAAGGAGCATCACAAAACCATCTTCTTTTCTATATTTAACACATCAAAAAGAACAGGCCGAGAACACGACCGTGTGTGAGGCACGGTGCTAAATGCTTTCTGTGCACTCTCAGACACCACTCCTCATGTTTTGCCAACACACTGAAGTTTGCGGGGGGCAAGCAACCCTCCCAGAGTCACAGAGCCACTAGGTAGAGGATGGGGATCCAGGCCTGGGGTGCCAGGCCTGAGAGCGCTGGAGCAGGCGTCCCCTGCGTGCTCCCACAGGGACTTCTCGGCTTACCCAGGCCTGGCATGCACAGCTCCTTAACATACAAATGAGGGTCTCTTGACTTGAAACCCAGCTTTCGTAGAATATCTCCAGATTCTGGTCTTTTTGAGCTGCCACAGCTCCTCATTAGTACGAGTCTGCCTTCAACTCATCTCCCTGCTCTTGGCCCTGAGCAGAAGGCATCCCCACCTGCCCCTCCCACACTCAGCCATCGGCACCAAGCCGCAGAAGGACAGAATAGATGCATCGAGAACCAAGCTTAGGGAGGAAAAACAAACCCCAAACCTGATCCGCTTTGGCATGTTCAGGGTCTTTTGGAGAAAAGCACATCTGTGTGAGTTTAAAAGCTTATATTTTCATACCCAAATCTCTCTGGCACTTGGCCTGTGGCATCTGCTTTCTAGCCTCAGAAATTTTAGTTAGCGGCCTTGAATTTCATGATCCTGCCAGAGAACCAGTAAGCCCTTTCTGATCCAGGGCCTGTGCCCTCTTCTGCTTCCAGAAATACTGGGCTCCAACCATGGGATCGGCCCTCTCTCTGACCACCGTGGACCCTGTCCTGGGGTCAGCCGAGCACCTACCCCCCATGATTAAACAGCCCATCCCGGGCCATCTCTCAGCCTAAGTTCACAGGTATCTTCCTTCTCAGCACCTACCTAGTCATCTGGATGCTCTCAAACTGGGACCTTCCCCTGTTTTTAAAGACAGTCCATGAACCTTCAGAAGTATAGAATTTGAATTTCCTGGGCAGTCCATTCAGGCCGGACGCCAGCCTGCTCCAAAATGAACCACAGATGTGTCTCATTCCGGGATATTTCCATGGGAAGCAAGAACTCTCTGGCACAGTTACGTGACCATTGACCATCAGTTTACTGCTCATAATGTTGTAGATCATAGAAGAGAGTCTGAAACAGAGTTGCAATCAGAAAGTGTAAGGTAGCTATTCACTCAGCAAACTCTACCCAGTAACTTCCTAAGCGCCAGGCACATGATGGGCACTGGGCATGCAGTGATGAATATGGCCCAACCCCTGCTGTCGAGATGCTTCTGGAGCAGGGAGAGAGAGACACAAATACACTGCCGGACAAAGCACTTGATGCCCTGCTGAGGTAGGCACGAGGCACTGCAGGCGCCCAGGGAAGTAGGCCCTACCCCAGGCTGAAGCTCAGGAGGAGTTTATCCAGGGACTTGGTGCCCACACCAAAGCTTCCCCCACTGGAAGCTGTAGAACGACTGAGCTGCAGGCAGTTGGGGATCACCAATTGGGGGCCGCTGGTACAGTTGAAAGAGTTGTGCATGACACAAGTCGAAGGGTACCCTTCCTGTCATAGGCAGTCTGAATGTTGAATTGTGCAGTGTCCAACCTGCAGGAGGGAACATGACACCCAAGCATCACTCTCATTTAAGAGAGAGGAAGCTGAGGCCCAGACAGACACATGGCTCAGGTCCCACCCCCAGGGTGAGGGCTAGCGCTGTACTCACTCCACCTTGCTGCCTGTAGCCAATCTGCTTCACAACTGATGCTTTGGGGCCCAAACACTACTATCCCCAAGCTAAATCCAGCCTCTGAAGGAACCTCATTTCCTATTCGTATCCTACTTGTTTCCAATCTGAGGAGGAAGGAAGGAAGCCCCCCGGGAGCCCTGCCCGTGTTCACACAGGGGTGTCCTCCGGTGGGTGCCAACACTCAGCTGCCGGCCAGCGCGGTGCTGCCCCAAGAGGCCTGTCTCGCTTCACTGCCACCAGCTGTTTGGAGCTGTTTTCAATGACCTGTTTGTTTCTTGGATTGATTATCAGCTTCCGCTGACCTGAAACCTTCCCTTGTGTTTCCTCTCCTGACCTCAGGTGTCATTTAGGTACCACTGTCGATTGTACAACGAATGGCGTCGGACCAATCAGAGAGTGATTCTCCTCATCCCAAAGTCTGTCAGCGTCCCTTCTAACCAGCAGTCCCTGCTGGGCCTCCACTCTGTCAAGAGGAACTCAAAGGAGACCATTGTCTGACGTCCGTGTGGCTGGTTTGCTGACTCGTTGTTTGGGGTTCTGGAAGTTTCTGCACTGGGGCCATGCACTGAGCCACCTCCAAACCCTTCCTGAAGCCGTAGGTCTCGGGACATCCAGAGCCGTGGGAGCACCTCACCCCGAGCAATGGACTTGGCCCCAAAGAAAGCAACGCCATTTCACTTGGAATCATGGATGCTGCAGTCACGTGATACTTGCTGAGCTGCCAAACGTGCTTACTGACCAGATACTATATGAAATTTCCTGAACACCTCTGTAACAGATGAGGAAGCTTGTCCTGCTAAAGATGCAATTCAATGCTTCCTTTTTTATTACGATTTCAAATATATATATATATAGATATAGATATATATTAAAGTCAGATGATAATCACCATGAAAAAGCCAATGTTACAACTGGTTTCTTGGTTTGGACTGGTTTGGTTTTGGGTGAGTTTATCTGTTTCCCGGTTTCTACTGTAGATTCTTTGGGGTAATTTGATAACCAGAGTGGTCTTTTTTCATCTCCTCCTTCTCTCTTACTCAAGGGGACAACATAACAACTGCAGAGCAAGGCATAGCTGAAGGCCGTTTTGTACTAAACTTCGTTTATTCCGTTTTTAAAGGGGGAAAAAAAAAAGAAAGGCGTGGCGACTCTCCTGACTGAGCTGTTTATTTAAATTTCATTAAGGAGAAAAATAAGGTGAGAAGCACGCTCCTTTCAACTTGTTTGGTATTGCCGGCTGATAAAAACTATTTTCTAATAATAAATATCCAGTGTGTGAAAGACAAACCCCATTGATTGCAATGTTCTTTTTTTTTTTTTTTTGAAATTATAAAACTGGTGAAGTTTCCCCAAAGAATTTTTTTTATAGGAAAAAAAAAAGAGAGAGAGAGCAAGTAAAAATGTTGGTGTTCTTACTCCCATTCCATGTAGTTCATGTCTTAATTTTGCATTCGCAAGGAACCAGAGAATCATTAGACATTTCTAGGAACCCTGGACCTGTTTTGCATATCAATTAGCATTCCCATTGCTCTATTGAATTTCTAGCTTGACAGGTAGATGTGGCAAAAAGCTAGTCCCAGCAGCCTACAGCCCCTTTGTCTGGTTTAAAAAAAAAAAAAAATGAGTCCCACATAGTGCCTTCCCCAAACCACAAGCCAATTCTGTCACAGGCTGAAAGAGACCTTTTTCCTAAGGGCTTCATGTCCCTCTTTTATCCATCACAGTGGAAAGGGTCTACCCTGCACTCTGCGTTTGCATCCCGCTGAAACCAGGGGCACATGGGTCATCTGAGGAAGCCCTTGCTGGCTCCCCTGCCTGTCCCCTGCCGCCCACCTACACGCCCGGGAGGAAAAGGCAGAGCCCAGCATTGGGGAATGCTTAAAATATGGATTTCTAGAACATGACCCACATTCTGAGTATCACTCCAGCGTCTGCCTTCTGCTTCCCAAGTGGGAGAGTGGAAAGAGCAGAGGAGCAGGCAGCGAGGAGGGTAACGATTTCTGTCTGACGCGGGTGTCACCTCTGCCTGCCGAGACCCCCATTCACAGACTGCCCCCTGCACCACGTGGGGAGGGGAACAGCTGGACCACGCTCTGCTGTAAAACTCAGATGTGCTTTATGGCTGATGACAATAGATTCCTGCCTGCCACGCTTCCCTTCGACACTCGCTCCGGTAATAGATGCCTGAGCCCTTCTGGTTCCTCGGCCCCGTTCGCCCCTCCAGGCTGTCATTAGCCACACCACCATCCACTGTTTCTTAATTGACCTTTTTAAAATGCTGGACACCACTGACTGCACACAGCTGTCACACATTACATTTCCAGAGCCAGGAGTCCAACTTGGTCGCTGGTGAACGACAGCCCTGCCATAGAGGGGATAAATAACATCCACCCAGCCTCGGTCCCTGAGCTGTCAGGTACCTGGGCGACCCCTCCCAATGGAATGGCATGAGCATTCAGGAGAGGACCGTAACCTCTATCCTCCCAGCCTCTTCCATGAATGAAGGAAGTGGGACATCCCCGGGATCATTTCCTGTTGAGCTGGCTGCAAGGAAATCCTGCTGTTTGGGTTCATGCAATGAGACATAGTGACTCAAATTATCAAAAGCAGACAGGGGCCCAGCAGCTCTGTGGGGACCCTGCGCGGCAAAGGTGGGCACATCAGTACTAGGTCTGTACCGTAGCTCTTTCCCCCGTATTTGCACACCCACCCTGGGAAATAAAGCAGAGCCCACATGCAAGAAATCAGTCGCCTGGGCGGGGGGTGCAGTACAGTCCGGGCAGCCAAGAGCAGCGTGGGTGCCTCCCTTTCCAGACCGCCAACTCGGCTCCTCCTCCTGCGAGACTCTGGGCTCTAACAGCACCAGGACCCATCTGAGATGCTGATGAAGTTCTTCATCGCTTCTTGGCGCTTTAGCCCTGACATTGTTCAAGGCTAGGGAGAGCAAGGAACTACAGAACGTGCAGCACAAGGCACCAGCCAAGAGGCAGAGGATGGGCGGGGGCGACAGTCCCAGCTCTGGGTCTGTCGCCAAGCCAGGCTGCACCTGCCGTAAAAGAAGGGTACCTCTTGCTAACCACTGAGAGGCGCCACACGGGTCACCAGTGGCTCAGCCAGGCTTGAACTCTTCCTCTGCTTCTTCCTTTTTGAAAACTCAAGAATGAAGCAGGGAAAGGAGCAAGGAGGGGCTGGTAAAGGATGCTGGGGGTTCGCTGCTTCCCCACCATCGACTCCTTCAGCAGCCTGCTTTTCCACCCTCCTGGATGTATCCTTTCCTCACCATTTATCCTGAGGCTATTTGGTAGAGACAAATACGTGTGACCGTGAAGCCAGAGGGGGAAAGGGACAAGTAAAACAAGTCCAGAGAGCTCTTGGCCTACCCTGTGAGTGTATGTGTGTGTGTGTGTGTGTGTGTGTGTGTGTTTGCATGCCCACACACACACACACACACACACACGTTTCTATGTTCTTATCTGGGGGTTCCAGAGAACCCGGAACGTTCGCACAAATTCTACAGCCCAGAGAATGGAGCAGAAGCTCAGATGAGCTGGAAAAATCCAATAAAGACAAAATAAATGGCATGACTTGGAAGTGACTTGTACTTGCCTTTCATGGCCTGGCCCCCCCTTCCCTGTGCCTGAGCACTGTGGCCTGTCCCTCTCGGCTGGGCTGTCCTCACAGTTACATCATCTTTAGTGGAAGTAACACATCTGTAGGCACGAAGGAGCCAAAGGGGGAAAGGGAAGTAAAGTAGCAGCCTGCCTCCCTGCACTTTGGCTGGTGGCCAGCTGGAGGCTCCACATCCTCCCCGGGCCTCTTTGTGGCCTCTTTGTTCCCCTCCTGGCACCTTCTCGGCAGCCCAGGTCTGTCTCCGCCTTCCCTGACACGCTGCCCAGCTGATGGAGCTGCTCGACCTGCGCAGAAACTTCACCCTCAGTCTGCTCTCACCAGGGAGAAAACACCTTGGAAAGGAAATCAGCACATGCTTCCTTTCCTCTCTGATCCAGAATGTTCCCTGAAGCTACCAGAAGATGAACCACACAGCTCTAAGCCCTAGGGCTGGAGGCGATATGTAGGTTGTGATTCTGAAGCCATTCAGGGGTCAGGAGGTGGGCCTTGGGTAGGGAACGGGGCTCGGGATTATTTTAGGACCAGAGGTGGGAACCCGGACGCACCTGGCTAGACACCATTCCCCCGGCCAAGCATGGGGAGGGTCTACGGACTGGCAGGCTACTTACTGCATGAGGCCTGGGGCTTCCGAGGTTTTGAGTGAGGAGAAATGGGCACTCCAAGGTAATGGCTGGGCAGTTGCACACCCACTCAAAATGTGTCAAAATGCACGGGCAGAAATGCACAGACCAGCATGTTCTACAGTCCCCCTTTCTTGGCTTTACAAAGCTCTCCACGCCTAGGGGTTTACTGCCTTCCCCTTGTCGTTCAGCTGTTGTGGGGTGATCCCGTCTTCCTGCTTCCCAATGCCATAGCGTGGGAGAGAACGAGCCATGAGTCAGGCGGCCTGGGCTTGAGCTTGGCTCTGCACTGGACAAGAGAGCCCACCTGTCCAAGCCTCAGTTTTTTGCCTCTGTAAGATGCGGGCAATGCCTGCCTCAGACAACCCCTGTAAGATTCGTAAGGCTTTGCTTCCAGAAGTGGATGCGTGAGTGGCCGGGCCCCTCCCTCCCCTTCCTTCCACTCACCATGGCTGATGTCTGTTATTCTGCCCCAGCTTGGGTTCTGACAAACAACTTTAATAAATGATTTGAAGGACCATACACACATAGTTTAAAATCTTTTTCAAAAAGAAGAGGGACTGATTTTAAATAATCAACAGATATTTATTGAGCATACTGTGCTTGGAATAAAAAGAACAGTAAGAGATCCTTCTGGAGGTTGAAATTACTGACTTGATTGAGATCTTTGAATCACGTGTCCATTTCAGTTACTCTTCCATTTCCTGACCATGGAGCCTATGGCTAATGGAGAATTCATCACAGATAAAAAAAAAAAAAAATTTTTTTTTTTGCCAGTTCTGGATCTAGTGCTACAGAGGAAAACAAATATAGTCTATCAGTTGTCTGTATTCCCAGAAATGAGGGACTCGTGAGTCACGGAGCTCATCCATCTAGTGCCTTCTCAGAGGCTCTGAAGTCTATACACAAAGACAATACAAGGAGACCAGCCGCGGAGCCCGGCTCCTTTTGAGAAACTCTCCTTTTTGAACGTGACTTTTCACCTACTGGATCCAAAGCCACCTAATTTAGAAAATGAATATATGGACCCCGTCAAAGGTTTTATTGATCGTATTTGTGAATAGGAGATGCAAAGAACAGAGTTAACCCTGCATGACGACTTCTATCACCGTCAGCCTCTATGGGTCCTTCTGCTTTATTCCACGAGTACATACACACAGCCAGGCTCTTCCCAGGAGTCACGTGCGAGGCGGCACTTTCAAAATGACCTCTGGGGATCCTCACCGCGACCCCAAAATTCGGTGCTCTAAAGCAACCATTTCCCTGCATTTCCCTGTTCCATGGGTTGGCTAGGGCTCAGCTGGGCAGTCCGTGGGCAGTCTGGTGGCACTTGGCTGTCTCAGACACTCAGGTGGGCCAAGTGCTCCTCCCACGGCCTTGTGTCTCCACCTGGCATCTCGGCTTCCAGGGCCCCTCTCATCCCATGGCAGCTCAGGACTTCAAGAGGGAAGAAGCTTCTGTCCTGCGCAATGCCTGGGCTTAGAAGGGTCAGGGGTCCCTTCCTCACATCCTACTGGTCAAAGCAGTGACAAGTCCCCGCCCCCTGATGGGAGGGGCGGAATTGTTTGGGGCTGTCTTTGCGGATTAGCTACCAGACCCTTTTCAACTGATGG